CATTAAATATGAAAAAAGATGATGCATCAACACTAATAATTTTTTTAACAATCTTAAACACCTGAATCAGGTCCTCTCTAACTTCTTCTTTTAAAGAGAAAACAGGGTCAGAGATCATACCCTATCCTCATATAATAACGTTTACATACAAGGTATCACCCTAGTAGCCCTCCTCTGAATCTTTTCCAGTGTCCACTACCAACAGCACATTGCTTGGATGGCATAAAAGAATGATCATGCAGAATATCAAGATCTTTTTCTTCCATACTACTGTTAAGGTTATTCCCATCAAAAGTACACCCATAATTCAAATTATGATATCCCACATGCATTACCTTGCATTCATTATAACTAAAAGTCTTCTGTCATTCATTCGCTTAATTCACCAAATAATCCAAATCCTTTTGTATGTAGCATCCTCCTCATAGCCAGCAACACCCAAAACTTTAATGTCATCAGCAAATTTAAATAATCTATTGACCATTCCTTCATCTGTTATTGATGTAAATCAAAAAGAACAAAGGTCCTAACACTGAGTTCTGAGGTACCCCACTTGTGACATTAATCCAGTTTGACTGAACTCCATTTATAACCCCCTGCTTTCTTCCATCTAGCCAGTTTTCTATCCAATAAGCTAACCAATCCCACACACATTTACAGATAACTTTTAAAGAAGCCTATTATGTGGTACCTTGTCAAATGCTTTCTAAAAATTCAGATACATCAAATCCACACTCATACCCTCAACTACTTACGCAGTAACCTCTTCAAAGAATGTCAAAAGATTAATAAGGCAAGATTTTCCTCTAGTGAAACCATGATGACTATTCAACATTTTAAAGTTTGTTAACTGACTTTGCAAAGCATCTTTTTCAGACTTTCAAAAACTTTTCCTGCCACTGATGTAAGATTAATCTAACCTATATAAGAGCCAGTGTATGTCACGTCACACTTAATTTCTCGAAATAGGAGGAGTCATAAAAGCCCAAATGCATTTATCCAGATAGAATAGTTCGATTACTGCCTGTCCATTACGATTTTAGTGACGGGGTGCAAGGGGCT